GAGAAAAAGAAATAAATTGGAACTGGTTACTTCTCATCAGAGTAGAAGCAGACAAGAAACCATCACTATTAACAAAATATTGTCTAAGACAGTGCTCAGATTCAACCCCCACCCCAATGATATCCGTCTAAATTCAATGCAAGCCAATCACTATTATAGTGATACATATCTATGTCCTAACCAAAGATACAGAGGAAGTGGAATTTGATTTAAAATAATTTAAAGCATCTTACTGATGCAGCATAAAAATATATCATACTAAATATAAAAAAACTAAAGTGCTAAAGTTGGAACCAAAATGGCATTTGGAATAAAGGCAAAATTTGGTCTCAGTGCATAATGCACAGATCAAAGCAGGAGACAGACTATCAGAGTTCAGCCAAGAAAATTCAATGATTATACAACTACCTTTCCCCAACTACTTAAAAGATGAACAACATTGAAATCAAGTTGATTATATATTCTCAAGCAAAGATGAAAAAGCTGTACTCCATGAAGAAAAACAAGACCTGATTCCTATTGTGGCATAGATCATGGGCTCCTTCTTGCAAAATTACAACTTAAACAAAAGAAAACCAAATAAGCAGAAGAACAAGATATAACCTCACCAGTATTCCGTAAATTAATCCAGAGAAGTTCATGAAACTCTAGCAGCAGTTTAAAATCTTACAGGATATTGCAGTTAAAATTCTATATCCAGATACTAAGCATGTATGGAAAATAGCGCAATGGCCCAGAGATGAAAATAGATCAATTTATTTAATCACTTTGTTAGTTCAATACCCCAAAAAAGGGCAATGTTGAAAGAATGGAACACTAGTACTTTTCTCACATGCTAGTAAAATAATATTGAAGATTTTTCACTCATGGGAGGGGAACTGCCAGATTCAGAAGACGCAACTCCCTCCCCACCCCCCATTAAAATTGCAAACATCTAGTGGATGGTGGGAAAGATAAAGATATTGCAAAAGATGAATGATTTTACTTTATTGATCATACAAAGGCTTTGGACTGTTTAAAATATAAAAAATTAAGGATGACCCTTAAAACCCTGGGTCGCTCCATCTGCTTCTTGAAAATTTTATTTCATAACTGGAACAATTAAATGGTTCAGAATTGAGGAAAGATATGTTACAGTTGCATAATGTTATTTATTTAATATATACAAAGTAGATATAGTGAGAAATACTGGACTAGAAGAAATTGAAAAAGAAATTAAATGTGGGATTTGGGGAAGAAATATCAATAACCTCAGATATATTTATGAGGAAATGAGGTTGGAAATGGGGAAAAAATCATAAGACAAGCTCAACAAAATGTTTTGATGCCTTTGAATTGTGCTGTTCCATGCTGCTCTGTGTGTCAAAACAAAAAGTTGATGAAATCATCATATATGTTCTGTTGTAGACCTTGTGGAAGAATGATCTGTAGGAGATATAAACCAATTTTATATTAAAGATGGCATTAATTCACTGACCCATTTATTCTATGGGCGGTTTTTTTTTGCATCCACTCCTAAAATGCATAAAATCACATATTATCACTTACAATTGATTCTCTCTTCTGTTCATGGAATCACAGAGTTGGAAGGTCCTAATAATACAGATTAATTTACATCCTTCTAATTAAAGCAAGCCACAGTTTTTAAAATTACATTTCTGGGATTATTGACAACGTTTAAATCAATCAGATTTAAACAGTAAACACACCCCAAAGGTAAATTTTCAAGAAAGTTTCTAAAATTTTCAAATATCTGAACTCTGCTGAGCTACCTGCCATAGAAGATGGGAAGACACAAACTGCACACTTAATAGCTAAAGATATTATAACATGGCTCTGAAAATATTGATAAGATGCTTCTTATTTGATTCCAATTATAACCCAGATCAAAGTTTTTAAATGGAGATTATTCTCAATTTCTAAATTATGGCGGTTTTCTTCTTTGCTTTTCTCCAGCTCCTCTTTCCTCCTCTGTCTGCCAGTAGTCTGCTGGAGATTGAAGTACCAGAAGCATATTGCTTGTAGGAACCTTATTTTGCATTTGTGAGATTGCTTTACTTAGTTTTCCCCAATTTACCCTTTGTTCTTAAAAAGAGAGTGTCTCCAAAAACTATAATGTACATACAATTAAACATTCTGCTTGGTTGAGTTTTCTTTCAACTGCGAGCCAATTTAGGTTAGTCGTTAAACTGCTGGCCTAGAAACCAGGAGAGTCTGAGTTGTAGGTCTCCCTTAGGCATGAAAACTGGTTGGGTGGCCTTGGGCCAGTCACTGTCTCTCAGTCCAACCTGCTTACAGGGTAGTCATTATGGAGGTAGAAGGATTAAGTATGTTTGCCACCTTGAGTTATATATAAAAAAGGGCAAGGTAAAAAATATAGTAATAATAGTAATACAATTGAATGAAGAGTTTCAAGTGNTCTGCCAGTTCCTTCAGAACCTTGGGGTGTAATTTGATAGACCATTCCATTCATGAAAAAAAAAAAACCTTTAGAAGAGAACAATTACAGGCTGGTTTTCTCTGTGATGAGTAGCTGAATATAAAAGTCTATGAAGATTCTTTTCGGTTGGATTCTATAAACAGGTTTATAGAATCTGCTGATTGTGAAAAAGATTTGACAAAATAGTCTGCCCTACCTTAACCCCACTTGACATGAAACTAGATTGTTTTCCCTTGTGCCAGAGTTCCAAACTACTGGGCTCAGCAGATAGAGGTGGACCACTCAATCGTCTGTGCCATGCTGCTGTGTATTTGGTGCCAATATCTGCGGTGAGCCCAATTCAGAAGCTAGCTAGTTATATTCTGAGTATCTAGGACACAGCTGTGCATAACTTTTGCATATGCTACATTACATGTGTAGATGCAAGTTTATAGCAGCTTTGCAGAAAAGGAAGTGGCTCTTAGTCTCAAAGCATTTTCTAAGTTGTCAATAGACTTTTCTGAGCTCAGTACAGCGGTTATTAGATACAGCATTATTAGCATGCAGCATATTTTACCTGTAAATGGAGATCATAATATTGGTCTACCTTGAATCACCTTGAATGATTGAAGTATTCTATATATGTGCTAAGATTACTCATGCATGCAACACCTAACACCTTCTACAGTTTTGGCACTTGAAGTAAAAAAATGACCCTCCCAAAGTAATTAATAATGAGATTAGATACTATGGAGTCTTAATTTCATATGGACTCTGCAGCACAGTACCTAATAATATTTCTGTCCTTTCCTAAGACTGACATTAGTTGCCAACTTCTCTGCTTAGATTCACATGTAAGTATAATTTTTCCATGACTTGGAATTGGAAGAAAGTATTTGCCAGTTTCTTTTCTGGCGTTTCAGCCCAGCCTAATTAAGCTGTATTTTTTTCTATGAACAGAACAGGGCTTTAAGCCATGAACATATGTACAATAGGGTTATCTTAATCAGTGTTTAAGCTTCTTTTACGAAGCAACTTTAAAAAGATAAGAAACAATGCAAGGACATGGTATTCTCAAGAATGTACAAAGATGCCAAAGGAAGGGGCTTTTTTTTCATAATCTTAATTCATGCAGGAGACTTTGGATTTTTACAACATACAGGGTGGGCAAGAACAGTTCTTTTTCCCATTAGAAAGCTCCTTGAATATCCTGCCTCTCACATATAATTAAATAACAGAAGAACTTTCAGTGGGCCCATGAAAGCATTTTTTAAAATATAATTGCCACATATACTTTGGGGGAAATCTCCCTGGAAATTCTTTTACTCATGTAGAAAACTATTGCTATCGATATCAATTAAAGCTTTTTTCTCTGTGTTTGGGGTGTGTATGATAGTAGTATGTAAAAACTGGATGATTAAACATAACTTTATGAGCTTTAGTTTTTACAGAAAATCATATTCACCCCATGGAACATAACATGGGCCGGTGTGTGTGTGTGTGTGATAATTGGAACCAAAGGACATTAATTCAAGCACAAGGAACTATGGCTCCTCAGCCAACAGTACCCAGGCTTGGAGAATGGCAATTATTTTGCTCCCTTATAAAGAGAACTTGAGGTTCCTTGTAATTGTTTACTGGTTTTAAGTGAATTGAAGTTGATGACTACTGAGCAAACTGAATAAGAAATAGTGTTTGTCAGAAATGTAAACTAAGTAATAAAGAGTTTTCTAGACTATGTGTGGTTGTATGGAACTGCATCTACATGGAGGGAAGTATGCAGTGGAGTACCCCAAGGCTCTGTTTT